GAGAGAGAGAGACAGCTGGAGTAGGCGGGCGAACCGGCAGCAGAGAGAGCAGGGGCCGGAGTGAGAGTGGGCGAAGAGAGAGAGAGAGAGAGAGAGAGAGTGGGGCAGGTGTTAACGGGGCGCGGTAGGCGGCTTTTCCTGCCCCAACCCATTCCTGCCAGAACCCAAAAACGAAAAAAAACAACAACAAGAAAAACGGGAGGGCCTGCTAGGCCAGGCCACACCCCGTTTTTGCCGATTATCGAACAGGTAGGCCGTTTAACGAGCAGTTCACTGTTTTTCTTGCTGTTGCGAACTGCTCACGGTCCAATCTTGCAGTGGACTGTTATTTCTGCGAATTCTGAACTGTGCAGCGGTCACAGGCGCAGTTTTTTCATTCTTTTATGTGAGATCTGACCATGAGACTTTACGCTGGATTAACCCATACTCTTTTTTTTTTTTTTTTTTTTTTTTTTTTTGAAAGGCCCTTGCGCAAGGCCTCTATCCTGGTGGTGGTAAGAGAACCACCGGGATTGAGGCTTTGCCCATACTCTCCGATGGACTTAAGAGATATGTATGACAAAGAATTAAGGGAGAGGATACCAAGGTGGCTAACACACTCTCGTGAAGGGCAGACTATCTAGGTGCACTAGAGACCGAATTTGGCATATCAGATGATGTGACTTGATCCATGGTGGAAGTTTATCGAAAGGACCCCATAATGTCTGAGATCATTCGCAAGCTTGAGGCCAAACACAATGCCACATTTAATGAGTTTGTGCTGGCTGAAGTCTTGCTGTTCCCCGAGAAGGCAGGAAATAAAAGATTGTGTCCTATCTAGAGAGTGATTGAGTAGTTGATTTTTAGGCGAATTTCATACTGCAACCTTTCACTTTGGCTATAAGAAGACATCAACAAACCTAGCGCAACGTTTTTGGTGGCTATCGATGATAGAAGATGCAAGGACATATGTAGAGACATGTCAGGTTTGCCTGTGTGATAAATTGAGGACGCAGGCACCACTTGGGCTTATCAAGCCCTTACCTATCCCTGCTGGTCCCGGTTAGAGTGTGTCCATAGATTTCATGGATACTCTCTGATCAGCAAGAGCCGTCCGAGACACATTTTTGTCATCGTTGACAGATTTAGTAAGTATGCTAAACAGATCGCTATGCCCGAGACAACCTGGGCCGACTAAGTTATCAAACTCTTCATGGAGAACTGGGTGCGTAGGGAATCACCCTGAGTCGAATGACCAGGTAGAGAAGATGAACTGGGTAGTGCAACATCTGATGCGGCATTATATCAAGTCAAGCCAAGGTCAAGGATAAGAAGTTGCCTCTCATCGCCAACCTCTATAACAATTTTGCTCACAGCTCTACCCGTACGACTCCCAACCAGTATAACATCTTGGTTGGAAGCCACAATCAACTCTTGATTTTCTGTTGCCGGAAAATCAGCCCACTGCAGCACCCGACAACATTGAATTTGCTGCAAAATATGAGAAGATGCTGCAGCATGCTGTAGAACAGATCAAGAAATCCCAGGATGCTATGATAGCATCTGAGAACAGGCATAGACGACCATCTATAAATTTCAGGCTGGGAGAGAGTCTGGGTTAAACCACCAGTACTTGGCCCAGCTATGGGCCGCGGAAAAAAATAGAGTAGAAACGTTTCTAGTTGGATGAATTTGGGCGCTCCTGTAGTGGCCCGTACGTTTCCGAAAATCGCGTTGTAGCGTTAACGCTACGCGACTTTAGGAAATACTGGTGGTTTAAGTCATCTAAACTTGGACAAGAACTGGGTACATCCGGAAAACTCATGCCACAGTACTTTGGTCCATGGGAAGTTTAAGACATAGTTGGGGATACACCCGGCGATAGACCCTCGTATATCATTTGAATCCCTGGACCAGGTCACTTATGCACACACGCTGTTCGTCACGCCTCGGAGTCCAAACTTTAACCTTTTTCTGAGACAGGTCGATTCCCCTTAGGGAGATCAATGCTGCCCCCAACGTTTGACATTGAAGATATTATTGAGCACAAGGTGATGCCTGTTCCCAAACCACCCGGAGGAGGGAGGCGACCCAAACCACAAATGCAATATTACCGGGTGACGTTCAGGGATCATGTTGATCCCAGCGAAGATGGCTGGTCGACAGGTAGTAGCAGGTTACGGAAGGAGACTGAAGGGGAAGCAGCTTGCTAAATGAAGACTTCTCAGAGGACTGTCGAAGTTAAGGAGGGAGGAGGGAGTGCGAGGATCTGTATCCTCGACAGAGGCCCCCCTTGTGGCCGCCCTGCTTGGTCTGAACCCGCCCTGAGTGAAGCCGGGCCCCGACAATCCAGCGGGGCCTATTCGTAGCCTTTTCGGCCTTGTGGGCGCCAGACAGTTTCCACCCGTCAGTTGGTTAGTACCGTGGCCCTGCTCGTGAGTAACTCCATCACATCTTAGCCTTCTAGTCTTTTCCAGGCATTACGTGGAAGGAGGCCTCTTGGCCTATCAGGGAGCAGGGAGCACCTCAGGCCGCGGGAGGTGGGCGGGCCTAACTGCTGTGGGGCCAGGCCACAGTCTGAATCAGTCCTGGGTGCAAACACTTTCGTCCGATATCAAGCTACTCGGCTCACGGGCCTCCAAGTCCAGGCAGCCCTTGCGCCTGGCTCTTTTCCATATAGGAAAGAGCCAGGCCACGAGGGGGTCATTCGTGCACTTCGTGCAAGCAAGGCAGTGCTGCCATTCTGAGCGCTGGGGAGGCTGCTAGCTGGAAGGATGCAGGCACACGCAGGCGCTGGTGGAAGAAGGGCGCTCCTAGAAGCAGTGCTGTGCCAACCCAGCCATAGCCGGGCTTAAGGGTAATTCGTGCACTTCGTGCAAACGCGGCAGTGCTGCCATTCTGAGCACTGGGGAAGCCGCTAGCTGGAAGTGTGCGGGTGCACGTGGACTCTGGTGGGAGAAGGGCACTGCTAGGATCAGCGCTGCGCCAAGCCAGCCATAGCCGGGCTCAGGCACAGGGGAGCCAGTGGAGGTGGTGGTGGTCTTCGTGGCTCATGGTGAAGTGTGGGTAAGGAAGAGGATGAGCAGAGGGAGCGCGAGTGAGAGACGGAGATTTGAGGACTCGTGCCTGGTAGTCGCGGAGGTCTGCATGGGCGACATGTGCATGTACTTCGGTTGCTGCTGCTGATGTCAACTGGTTGCTTTGTCTTAGTTGTAGGCTAGTCTAGGAGCTGTGCAGTCGTAGTCTGGGCGCTGAGCGCCAGTAGGAGGTAAACAAGCATTGGATACAATGTTGATGGTGGCGAGACAGCGCTTTCATTGACAATTGGGTTTGTTGCTTTGGTTCTCCTTTGGTGTGTCGTTGGTGCATGACTGCTTTCTGGTCAGCTCATGACTATCTGGCTACAATGTGATGTTGCAATTTGGTATAGTGTCATTTCAGTGAGTTAACTGTTGCTCATTTCCTTGCATTTGGGTGGTGTTCCTCCCCCCCCCCCTCTCCCTCCCAAGTTCTCTTGGATAGTGTTTCATGCAGGCGTAGCCTGCGGGGTCCGCCTGCTTTTATACAAGGATGATGCCCTTGAGCTATTATCGTCAGACTACTGAGCCCAGGATACAAGCAGTATATCACATGAAAAACTGTCCAAATGTTGAAAATTTCGAAGCTCAATTTCATCACGAGAAAAAAATATCTCGGATTTAACTAAAAGGCAAGAGTCCGGCCTTTTTTTTTTTTTTTTTTAAAAAAAAAAAAAAAAAAACTGTCCGGCCTTTATAGCTGGATCTAGAGTCTAGACGGAAAGTTACCTCAGGTACAGAAATATTGACCGTACTTTCAATTGAGAGGGGACACATGTAGTATTTTCAGAATACCTGGAAGAGTTTTGGCACCACCAAACATCCGGAAGAATGAGTGGACCACAGAAAGACTGTAAGAATTATGTACCTTTCCACATGCACCTGGTCTGCCTGGCTACCAGATGCATTGAACTGATCCAACATTCTGAATGTCTTGGGACGATTACCACCTCCAGATACATTTAGAATGCCCCAACGATGTCCAGACCACAGAATAACTAAGAATAAGCCTAACTCCACTACACACCTTTTCTTCACGTACCTGGCCAGATTGTTCAACTAGGTGCATTCAGACTGATCCCACAATTTGATGTATCAGGACCATTACCAGTGACAGATAAGTTTCAAATGTTTTGCTATGGTGCGAGTCCAACGTCTGGATCACAGAATGTCTGGACATTGGACATCACTGTTGGTCTGACAGCCATGACATCCAAATGTTGGCCGTGTTTTTATTTACTTTTTGTCTGAATGTCGTTCCAGTGATATGTGTGAAAAAAAACAAGAATATCCAGACCACAGAATGACCAGAAGAATGGACCTGGCTCCACTACAAAACATTCTAAATGTATCTGCACTGCTTAGCCATCCAGATACCTTTTAGCTGTCCAACAATTCTGAAATGTACCAAGTACCAGCCACAGTTACACTCAGTGTGTTGTGTAGCGCCGTAGCGGAGCAACGGCCAACGTCCGAACATCGCTGGGTGTGGGAGAGCTATGTCTACAGAATGTTTGGTTGAGAGCAAGATTCCTGGCCAAGAACATTGAATTCAGCATCTGTATCTAGATTGTTTGTCAATCCCTTTGAATGAGACAGACCGGACCGTCTTCTGTGTCACTGGTATGGGACAATCATACCAATTTGTCCCTCCCTCCATAAGCAATGTGGAATTGCATATTCGTCCCTTGATCGGGTTTGTGAATTTGCATAATTGTCCCTCACTCATTTAGCAATGTGAATTTGGGTATTTGTCCCTCGAACGGCTACCTCAATTTGAATATTTAACCCTCCGTCACGTACTAGTGTGTTCATTTGCATATCTGTCCCTGGATTGGCAATGCGACTTTGCATTTTGTCCCTCGATTGGCTGTGTGAATTTACATATTTTGTCCCTCGATTGGCTGTGTGAATTTACATATTTTGTCCCTCGATTGGCTAATATGTGATTTGGCATATTTGTTCCCTTGACCGGGCCTCAATTTGCATATTTGTCCCTCCGTCACGTACTAGTGTGTGCATTTGCATATCTGTCCCTGGATTGGCAATGCGACTTTGCATTTTGTCCCTCGATTGGCTGTGTGAATTTGCATATTTGTCCCTCGATTACCTAATATAGTAATATGTGATTTGCCATATTTGTGCCCTTGACTGGGACCCGGTGTGTGCAAGAGCTATGTTGTCAGAATGTTTGGAAGAAAGAAAGATTCATCACCAAGAACGTTTGCATCTGTATCTGGAAAGTTCTGAAAACCTTCTAAATGAGTGACCTCTCCGTCTTCCGTCACTGTAATCGGATATGGAACGATGTGACTTTGCATATTTGTCACTTGACCAGCTGTGTATTGTTGCCAATTCGCCCTCGCAATCTCTTTCACTCTCTTCAGGCACTCAGGCTTTGACGGGTGCCGGAAAACCTCCTCCACCGTCCCCATATGCTCCGCCCACAGCGACATCCGAAAGCCGTGCACTTGGCCGCAACGATTTGCGGATGTGTAGTAGGGCTGGTACGCTCCAATGTCCGCCTCGGTGTCACGAAGACCATCCATGGATCGCTGATTGATATTCGCCGACCCGACCATGATGTACATGTCATCTACCTGCGAGATAGTTTACAGGCACGACCAATCCACGACCAATCCACGAATAAATCACAGACATAGAAAGAGAACCCACAATGACCACATGCATATGCCAAACTTGTCAATAATTTTGCACCGCTCTTCCCAAAAAAGGGCATGTATTATTCCCTCCCCTCCCCTCTCCCCCCCCCCCCGGCTCCTCCTGGGCCCCTCCTTTCAACAAATAAAAAGGAAATTCAATAACGCATACATTTTTCTCGGAGACCCGAGGCCCCTGTATTATTTATCAGGGCCATATTTTTTTGCTATCAGTGAGCTGCTGGGCTACTGATGCATACTCGGACCAGACCGATTGATGCAATTAAGCGCAAGGACCAGCAAAGTGATGATAAGGACTCAGACTCACAACACATCCACAAGAAGACAATGTGAGAAAATACAAATTTTTGAATCACGAAATAAGGCAATGTAGCACAGTGGAGAACTCGAAATCACAACCTCACTCACTGGACTGAGACCCGACTCATCCCATCATCGAACACACACCTGCGAGAGAAGAGGACGGACCGCAAACAGGAAGCAAGGTCCCTCCTTGCATACACACATGGGGACTGTACCATTGACGAAGGGTGGAAGGAGGAGCAAGACGAAGATGGAGGAGGTGGAGTGCACCAGAGTCGCAACAACGGTGTCCAAAAACAGTCTCCCTGTCAAGTGTCCAACCAATGTCTGCTCCTGCAATGTCGAATCAGATCCTGGGCACTACAGCCCGAAACAGCCTCTGACTGTAAGTTCACCTCTCTCTCTCTCAAGACCATCGAATCTAGTGTCCGATTAGTGGCCCTGATGACAGGACAAAGTCCTGGTCTAGGCGCCTGGCCTAAAAAGCTGGCCTGGGTCCCTACCGGACGTCCAAGCGATCCTGCCAATGCACCAGACACTCTCCCACTACGAACGGACACGAACCTTGCCTACCTGGGCCTAAACGCGGTCCTCAGGTCCAAACAAGCACAGGCCTGTTCCTACTCTGAGACAAAGTCGGAAACGATGCACTGGGGACCGACAAAAATAGGCCAAACAAAATGAACCAGACGATAGACTCAGACAACGGGGCCGACGAGGAGCAGAAATCGGATAGACGAGCGGTAAGGAGAGAGATAAAAAATGACCCCTTTTGAATCACACTTCTCAAAACTTGGCGCAAGCTATCGCTCCTAGACAAGGTGGCCCCACGACGATGGGAAGAGGTGTTTAGACAACTGTTATTCGGAAACCGGTGGGTTACTGACTCCCAAGGCTCGGTCTTTCTTTGCACTAAAATCCCCAGGAGGAGGTGGGTGAGTCGGGGCGTCCTTGTAAGAGATATCTGGGACTTGGATACCAAAGACTGAATCACTGAAACCCAGTTGAGGGAGCAACTGCGACATTGTCATAATATTGGAGAAACTCTTTAAGGAATTATTTTTTCGATACCACTAGACTGGGTAAGGATTCTGAGGAAAGGACGAACCCTGGACAAGAGTGACTGGGTAGGGATCAGGGGGTGTGTAGACCGGCTAGGAAATGTGGTGGTGTCTGGCTGCCCAAATGTAGAGGTGTTGGTGAATCTCTTTCAAATCAAGAGTAAAAATAGACTGGTCAAGACGAATCCGAATGAGACAAGGTGGTTTAAAGAAGAGGAAATCTTTCAAATTAGGGTGCTAAAGGAAGGAAAACAGTGGTGGCCCTGGTGGGCGTACAGACCCGACACCGCGATTGCACATCTAGCCTTTGATCCGGCCTCTTGGGTCTGGACTACCCAGCTAGGCAGAGGCGAGACAGGAAAACAACAAATCTTTTTCAATGACAGTTAAGGGAGCCTACCGCCTGCTACGTCCAAGGGTGAATCTAAAAGATGTGGTAACATACCGTTGGATGAGACACCTAAATCTGGAAAGGAACACCTTGCGACCTATCAAATGGTTTAGGCTCAGTAAATCATTACCAGCCAAGTTTGCATCCTTACAATGGCAAGTGGAGCACCGTTGTCTGCCCACAAATGATTGGTTGATTGGCCGTTCATCTTTAGAACAGAAGGGCCTAGCTCTCCCCTGGTGCAAGTTATATGCGACATCATACCCACCCAAGCGGAGACCAGAAACAATTGAACACATCTTTCTGCAATGCTCTGGGTCAGTTTGGTTATGGAGATGGTGGGATCGAGTGTGGCGCCTGTTAGGCGCAACAACCCTTTGGCCGTGGGACTGGAAACCAATCCTGTGTGAAACCTGGCAGTCGGAACAAGCGAGCAATTTTGAGAGAAACATGTTCACTGTGGGACGTAGAGCAATCTTTTGGGCAACCTGGTGGAAAAGGTGCACTAGGGAGATGGAAGGAGTTCACCTTGAAGGTCTGGCTGTCATAGAGACAATCAAACACCAGATTCAGATAGACCTCATGGTTCAATGGGAAAAAATTAAGGAAAAAATAGCCTTCATACACTCGAGAATAGAAATCAAACTGCAAATCCAATCCTTCTGTAACGGCGGGCTGGGAGGGGAACACAGGGGTTTGATAGCGAATGTGCAATGGAAAGGGGGGGAGGGAGGGGAGGGAGGGAATAAGGAAAATTTTGAAAGGGACTACCACCTGCATTTTCATGATTGGACTAAAATTGACTCCTCCATCCCATTGCGGCCTCTCTCCGATTTTCCCGATCCTTTTCCGCCACCAGCGAGCTCAATAGTCGAAACAAATTGGTATGCAGGTGTTAAAAGAAATGGTCATCTTTGTCTGTCTGTAGGATGAGAATATTGTTTATTTGTCGATTATCCTGCTCAATTTAATAGTCTGGTTTCCAGAGTAATCAATGAGGGGAGGGAGGAATTAGGGTCTCGCTCCACTACTCAATACTCTCGAAATTTCGAGAGTACGGCCTCGCTCCGCTCACTCTAGATAGGTGCTCTCGAAAATGCCCTTCGAGAGCTGTCAGAAAGCACTCTCGAAGGGCACTCTCGAAGTGTCTAGAGTGCCCAGCCTGCGACGACATGCTTTTCCAGTGTCCTCCCTCGTACCCCCACTCCGACCATTTTTTTTCGTGAGTGCGGCTCGTGTCCCGACCATCAGAACAGGGCGGCGCTGTCTTTTAGTGCGGTCAGAGAGCTCGACTCATTCCGCCACTGCATCTCGAGCAAACCCTTCTAGAGTAAGTGGAGCCAAGACTTTTTTTTCGAGAGTTTTGCACGTCTGACAGCTCTAGAAGGACTCACGAAACTTTTTGTGAGTCGAGAGTAGGGGAGCGAGACCCTTAGTGTGTAACAGCAGGTATCTGGCGCCGGTTTCAGGGTGAAGAGATTCTTCCCCCTCTTCCCAATATCCTGCTCAGTCAATCCCCTGGATCCCAGGGTAATCAATGCTGGCAGGAATCCCCCACAATCGTTTTTCTGATATGCTCCATATTCAGTCTGTATATGGGACGCTGGACCCGTTTTCCAGCAGGTGATGCTCCCCACCAATAGATGGAGCCGCTCCCCAGGTGCTAGTGGTGTCTGCTCTTATCAGCACCACTAACACTGGTGGGGGTGTTTGTTTAAAAAAAAAAGAAGAAAAAGAAAAAAAAACTGAATAAATGAATTAATCAACAAATAAACAATGCTGAGGTAGGAACAGGGACACGCATGGAACCTGAAGCGTGCCTGGTCCAGAAAATGAGGCCGAGGTCCCACACACCCATCAGGTCCCGCAAAGGGGCCCGTGTGCAGGCCTGAGCACGCTACAGCTACCAACCGGCCGCCAGGTGACCCTGGTTGCCCGGGCCGACCGGTTGCACAAGGACCGGGGAAGGTCCCTGCCCAAAGAAAGATAAATCGAAGACGCCGGAAAATAAATAAATAAATAAATAAATAAATAAATAAATAAATAAATAAATAATGATATGCAGAAAAATAAACTGGGTAACTTTTGCCTAAGGGTTACAAGGAAATTCTTGACCGAACCATTCTGAATCAACTAAAATTTAAAAACAATTATTTATTTATTCATTTTTTGTGGCCCAGCCGGCCAAGTGGTCCCAGGCTACTGTGATAGCCTAGGTAAGCAGTTGATATGCTGCAAAAGGCAGTGGTCAGCCTTCCTTGTAAAAAAAATAAAAAAAATAAAAAAAGTTTGTGGGACTGTGGACCTGTTTTCCAGCAGGTGCATCTGCCTAGGAACAGACACTCAAAAATTCAAAAAGGAAAAAAAGACAATAGAGCTTGGACCGTAAGGCCCTGTTTTAAGGAGGGAAAGGGAGAAAAAGGTGCGCAAGAATGAGCCCCTCACGTGGCCAACAGGCCCCCACAGCTGACACCTTTCGGGGCCCCTTGCAAGTCTCGTGCCCGCCCTAAATCACGGCGGGCCTGCATTATCAATGTGCGGTCTTTTTCAGGCCAATTCCAAACTTGGGGGCGTCAGACGGTTACCACGCATGCACCAGCCCCCCCTGCTCTTATCAGCACCACTAACACCGGCAGGGGTGTGTTTAAAAAAAAAAACAAAAAAAAAAACAAAAAAAAAAACAAAAAAAAAACAACAACAACCACGCATGCGCCAGTTAGTTGGGAGGCCCAGCATGCTGTGCGACCGAGGGCTCGTGAGCCTGCCAGGCTTTTCCAGGCAGTGATGTGGCTCCAGGCCTTCCGGCCAATCAGATTGCAGCGAGTGACAAGAAGAGCCACGTCGCACAGTTGGGCTCGCCTAACTGCTTCGGCCCCAGGTCGGTATCTGAACTGGGCCTGGGTGCAGACGCCGTGGGCCAACGGCGAGCTACTGGGAACTCGGTCGCAAGGCCCAGGGCACCAGGAAGCAGGACACACTTTCCATTTAGGTAAGTGGGCAGGGCAGAAGCAGACATCCGGGCGACAGGCTTCTGGGCGACAGCGCTGCCATACCGGGTGCTTGAGGTTGTGACCAGGCCGCTGGCTGCTTAAGAGCGCACGTGCGCTGATGAGAGGTGGAAGGGCGCTGCAAGCGGGCAGCCGGAGCGAGGTTGCCATAGCCAG